AATGGAAGAACTTGTATTAAGACTTACTTTAATGAGTTTAGTTGGTTATTTTACGATCGATCACTGAAATCTGTCTTTTGTGAAACCTGTACAAAATATGATTCATGTTTTGGTGGAGTGTTTAAGCATGAAGAAAGGATTTAGAACATGGAGCAAATCTGCAGCAGCACTAAAACATCACGAGGGCTCCAGTGTTCATAGGGCTGCAAATGCTTTAAAGATTGAGATAGAAAATATAAAGTTTACAATAATTAATGCACAAATTGATCAAATGTACATAAAGAAAAGCAAGCAGTTCGAAGAAAAGAATTGTTAGCGCATTTCAGAACATTGAAAACATTGCTTCGATAGGGTGTAGTTATTAGAGGTGGTAATGATGAAGAATTCAATATTTACCAGTTTTATTTGGATAAGAGTAAAAGTGACAAGGTATTAGAGATGTTGATGAATGATGAATGATGAATGATGAATGACTGAAAACCATTATGTTTTATCTTATGACATTTTGCAAGAGTAAAAACAACTTCTCACCTTAGAAGCACGAAAGCAGATTGAAATGATCAAAGATAAACATTTCTATTTAGTACTTGCAGATTAATCCTCAGATATTACTAAGAAAGAACAAATGTCGTTTAATATAAGAACTTGCAGTGACTATGAAGTGAATGAAGATTTTATCGGAGTATATGAATGCTTCGACGGTCTTTCTTCAAATGCCATTGATGACATTTATTGAAGATATCCTTTTTAGGATAAGTGCAATTTTATTTTAGGATAGGTGTAACTTCGAATATACAAAAGTTGCCGGAATTGGTTTTGATGGAGCATCAGTTATAAAATACTTGGCAGCAAAACTGAAAAATGTTTTTGGACAGCAAGCATAATATTTTCATTACATGGCACATTGCAGCAAGCTGATTATTAAGGAATATACCATAGGTATATAGGTAAAGGTACCATATAGAATAGGTGAACCATACACAATATCATGTATCATGTATACGCATGTCAATGATTCGACGGACAACACGAACAAACGTTGTACAAGTGGTGTTGGAGAAGATTGCAGAACTCTGTACAATATTGAACAGTCTTCAGAGTGACAGGAATATTGCTGCAGAAACCAGAGCGCAAATTAAAGATTTATTATCTCAGCTTTCATCAGTAAAAATACTTTTTGAAATCCAAAGTACTTTTGAATTTTTAGTTGTTCTAGAAAATCTGTCAAAGCAGTTGCAAGAAATTAATCTGACAGGTGATGTCGCAGTATTCTGCATTTGAAATGCGTCTCAGAGATTTGCAGAACTTAGATCAGATAAAGATTTTAATAGAATTTTAAAGGCGAAAAGAAATACCTGAAACTTACATTGGGCGGTGCAATGACTGGCGCTGTCAAAAAAGCAAAAATAAAGGAAATATTATTTTAAAGCAATTGATGCTATTCAGAACAATTTGACTAAAAGATTTGAAAAGGATGGATTATCAGCTGTCAAAAATATAGAAGAAGTTTTGGTTTCATTGTTGAATAAACAAGATTTCCCACCGCTTTTATTTGGAATGACGATTTTTAATGATGTTAACATCTTGGAACTAAAAGTTGAGTTGAAGGGGCTACCAACAATTATTAACCTGTACACTGCTTTTGCATCAATAAAAATACAGAGTGTTTCCTGAGTGGCATCAATTGAATGAAACAAACACACAAATTAATTAAGCTCTACTACACCATACCTCTATCGACATCATCATAAGAAACTTTAGTGTAATGAGAAGAGTAAAAACATGGGTTAGGTCACAAACTGGAGGTAATCACCTGAACAACATCATGTTTTCTCAGATACACAAAAAGCAAATTGACGTAATTAACATTAAAAAAATTGCCAAACAGTTCGTTAAAATGAATGACAGAAGAATGATTTATATTATACATAGTAAAACATTGTGTTGATGCTTTGGCAAGTGCCCTTATGTTTTGATTTGCCACCTCTGCCCATAGGCCCTACCGGCGTGCCTAATTTTCATAATATTTAATACAATATATAATATGTATTATGTATTGTACTATGTATATGTAAACATATATATATATATATATATATATATATATATATATATATATATATATATATATATATATATATATATATATATATATATATATATATATATATATATATATATATATATATATATATATATATATATATATATATATATATATATATATATATATATATATATATATATATATATATATATATATATATATATATATATATATATATGTATATATATATATATATATATATATATATATATATATATATAATATATATATATATATATATATGTATATATATATATATATATATATATATATATATATATATATATATATATATATATATATATTATATACTATTAAAATATTAAAAATTTAAATCTATATAAATATATATATACATCATTACAACAATATTACAAAACTATGCTAGTAGTTTGTGGTTTACTAAGGCAAGCATATGGTTTTATTATTATAAAAACATGCTTGTCTCAGTAAATTACAAATTTTTGTTTTAACAATAATATTACAAAACTATAACTTAAGGCAACATTAGTCAGTTGAATTATTTTGTGAAAAAAACGTTGCTTATATTTTAATTGACATCATGCAAAAAATAGATTTAAAAAAGTAAATGTTTGCATATATGTAAATATAAACATATATTTCCACAATAAATACAACTTTTTGGTGTTGCCTAAAGATTGACTCCTAGCAGTAACTGTCAGATATAATATATTTTTTATCAATCAGCCTTATTTTATTTAAATTAAACAGTTGATAGTTGGTGCAAAGATTAAGAAGTTTTAAGCGCCGTCTAAGAGTTATGGTTTTTATTGGTTCAGTTATTTATAATGTCGTACCTGCATGTTACATTTATTTATTAAAAAAAAAATTCCAAAAAATTGTTGATTTGTAAAAATTTTTGATTATATGGTAACTGCCTCTACCTATCTCAGCTATCTACCTATCTCAGCTATCTACCTATCTCAGCTATCTACCTATCTCAGCTATCTCTCTATCTCAGCTATCTACCTATCTCAGCTATCTACCTATCTCAGCTATCTACCTATCTTAGCTATCTACCTATTTCAGCTATTATTGAAAAGTATTTGTTAGTTGATGTTTTAAAGGTTCTTACCTCAATAGACACAGCAAGCACAAGACGTATTTACTACGTATTATTTTAATATTATTTACGTCTTTTCTAGAACAGAAAATAAAAATAAGCATTAAAAACGAAAAAAAAATTTTTAAGATAATTTTCAGCGAAATATAAAACTTATCTTAGAATGACCTTTTAATTACGTATTATTGCTATATGCAAAAGTCATCTAGCGCAGACAAATATAATATGTATTTTTTCAAAGATCAACTTTACCTTTACAAGATGTTTTAAACACGTTTTTTATACTTTTTTTGGGACGGCAAAGGCATTCAAAATAAATGCGTATTTTAAAAAATCTTTGAAAGATGCGCTTTAAGCGAATATAAAATAGATCTTCAAGCAGTAGCGTAGCGAAGGAGCCGTAGGACCTGCTGCCGCAGGAGGGTCTAAAGGTATTAGGGGCCCAAGCCACATATATTTCAATTTTTATATTTAAAAGTTGTCATTCTTAAAAACAATATGCATGAACATAAACATTGCAACATTAGCAATTTTTACTACTGTTATATAACTAAGAACTAAAAACTTTTCAGACTATTTTTTTAGTTTTAATAAAAACCTTGACTATTATTTCAAATAGTGACCTTTTTATTTATTTATATCTAAAAAATTAAAACAGACAGAATTAACTCATAAATATACAATTTCGTTAAGTGGCAAGTATGATGTAGTATTGTTTTAAAGCAAAGTACAATAGTGAAGATATAATAGCTTCACTATTGTACAATAGTGAAGCTATTGTATTAAAACTATACTCACTTTAACTCATTAAAACTATACTCACTTTTAAAAAAAGATTGCTAAGACGGACGTCGAGGTGGCAGTGTAGCTATCTTCATTACTGATGTATTTATCTTTCATAAAGTTAACTAGTTCTATAAAACTTTTCTCAAACAAGTTTTTGTATCCATAAAAAATAACAATAAACACATACTTATCTAGGTTATACATAGACCAAATGAAGCTAATTTAATATAATATATTGCTGAATCCTTCAAATTAGCTCAAAGCATAATTAGGAAGCCCTATGATGGCTGCTTTGTTGTCGGTAATTTTAACATACCACATTTCCTACCTCTAGACACCTATGGTTGCCATATGTTGGACTTGTTGTTTACCGACAGCAGTAATTATATTTTAAAATTGTTTCCTAATCCTACACAGCAAAAAACATAACGCTAAAATAACGGTTACATAACGGTAATTGAAAATTTTGGCGTTATGTTCACCGTTATGTTAGCGTTATGTTAAGTTTAAAGCTTTATGCCCAAAACTATTTGTATGATATTTGTAAAGCGTTATGTTTAACCGTTATGTTTACAAAATGGCGCGAATCTAAAGGATTTTTGCAATTAGATTTTTTGTTTATAATGTCTCTACTATTTTAGTTTACTTATTTATTTACATACGGTATTTACCACTTACTAAGTAACTTTTGGTTGTTAATTAATATATATTTATTGTATATTTGGTTCTGAAGCCCATTACTGATTGGTATGTTTTGATTGCTCACAATAAATGCCATGGCATCTATTGTTAATATATATATATATATATATATATATATATATATATATATATATATATATATATATATATATATATATATATATATATATATATATATTTATATATATATAATATATATATTTATATATATATATATATATATATATATATATATATATATATATATATATATATATATATATATATATATATATATATATATATATATGTGTGTGTGTATATATATAATTATAATATATATAATGTCATTTTGATGGCTGTTTATTTGTTAGATTTAACGTATCCTTGTTTTGGGCAGCTTCTGGGATGTTTCCAAGATATTTGCGGATTTGGGCAATAAGTTTTATTATTTAAAAAGTTTATTTTAGTTCTGCAGTCTTTTCATAGCAATGCAAAGTACTTTTGACTTTATTAATGTTAATTTTTATCAAAGTTAATTTGTTTAATTATTTTCTTGGTTATGAAAAATAATTTAATATAAATAAATTAAGGTATTAAACTGCATGAATTATTTTTGTTTAATTAAACTTTTATTATCATAAAAATGTTCAAGGTTAGTTTGAGGAATTATTTGGAAATCGGAAAAATGGAAATTGATCCCTCTTAGAGATATTGGCTATAAAACAAATTCAAAATAGTGAATTTTGAGTTTTATAATGCTATTTTGTTCAGATATCTCAGCACCAGAAAAAACACCAAATTTGTTTATGCTGCATTTATACTTCTTGTATTGAAGATGCATACCTAAAAATTTCAAATTTTTAATTCACTGTATGTTGTGCCAATTTTCGGTCCGTAAATTGACCAATAAGTTCCCTGAAATAGACTAAGTCTTTAATATTTGAAATTATTTTGAAAGAAAAAATTATTTGTTATTAAGTTGAAATTCTGAAGAAATATTTTTGGTCCATAAAACCTACAGGAGGTATACATTTCAAGAAAATAAAACATTGTCACGCGAGAAGGCTTGGCTCATCTTATATGGAATGACCCTATTATATGCTTATGATATATAAACTTTATACTATAATAGTATGATTTTCGTATTATATTATATGATATTTTTATAATAAATTTTTTCTAGTAATATAATATAAATTAGTGTAGTATTATTAAACTAATTAAATTGTGCCAAATAATGTTGTTTAATAATGTTGTTTAATACTTGTGTAATAATGGTGTTTACCTCTTACCGTCTGACCTGTCTGTTTATTATTACTGTTTTTAACATTAATTTTGTATTGCAAGTATTAAAAAATGTTAAATATACTATTTGTAAAATTAAAGTAGTATAAACTAATAATAACTGCTTTACTTATTTCTTCAATAGTTAATAGTTGAAAATAATAAAGGCTGTTGTTGTCAAATTTCTTGGGGAAAGAAAATTGTTATTGCTTGTAATATTACTGACATTTTAACTAATGGTAATCATATTTTGTATTGCAATGGTTCACATTCTTTTTTCTTTTTTTCCATTTAAAGCATTAATAATAATTTTTTATTTTATGATTGTGATAATTATTTTTTATTTATAAAATTTTAGTGTGATTCACTACATGAATACTTATGCCAAAGTTTATATGGTCCACAAGTTATCTTTAATAAAACAGAATATGATGTAAGGAGTTGAAGAGGTGTCGAAATGGATGTTCAACCCTTGATCAGTACATTTGTTTACTATTTGCTAGATTTGACATATTCTTGTTTTGGGCGGCTTCTGGGATGTTAGCAAGATATTTGAGACTTTTTGCAATTGGCTTTATTATCTAAAAAATGCATTTTTCTTCTGCAATCTTTTCAAAGCAATGCAAATTACTTTTGAATTTATAAATTTTAATAAGTTATTTTATTCAATTATTTTGTAAATAATTTATTTAATTATTTTGTAAATAATTTATTCAATTATTTTGTAAATAATTTATTCAATTATTTTGTAAATAATTTATTCAATTATTTTGTAATAATTTATTCAATTATTTTGTAAATAATTTATTCAATTGTTTTGTAAATAATTTATTCAATTATTTTGTAAATAATTTTCATGATTGTTATAAATAGTATAATATAAATATATTATGATATGAAACTGTATAATTTTTATTTTCTTATTAAAACTTTTATTGACAAAAAAATGTTTTTTTGTTAAGTACTTTGTGCGAATAGTCATGCAGAATATGCGTTTCTTTAAAAAGATAATTTTCATCTTACATAACGGTAACATAACGGGTAATTACCCGTTATATAACGGGAGTTTTCCTCGCACATAACGGTAAATTAGCGTTATGTAACCGTTATGTTTAAGGCAATTTTGCTATGACTAAACATAACGCTAAAACCGTTATGTTATTTTCATACATGTTAAGTATTAAACATAACGGCAATTACCCGTTATGTGCGAGGAAAACTCCCGTTATGTTTTTTAAAAATATAACGGGTATTTTATTTACTGTGTATATTAGATAATAATACTAAAAGCCGCTTATGATACCTTTAGTATCACTTGAGGAATTTTTTCAAACCACTTCAAACCGTTTCCTGAAAGTAAACCTGTTTATTTACACCAAAGATGATTACGATTCAATATCAAACTTTTTTGCATCATTGATTGATGCAAAAAAGTTTGATATTGAATCGTAATCTTTTATTTCTGCATAAAACTGTGCAACAGTTGTTTAATTTATTAATTTCTAACAAATGTATTGTTTGCAAATATTTTATTCCTAAGTTTTACCCTTAATGTTTATAAAACAAAGACAAAGTATGATTGAGTTACTCCACATATTAATAACCTAATCCGAGCAAAATATGACACGTGGTACATCACCAATTCAACCAAATGAAAGAATAATTAACTTAAAATAAAACGCTATCTTCTTAATCGTTTCGTAAAAGCTAGAATATTAAAGCATAAAGAGTACACAAAAATTAAATTATATTAACATCCCTCTGAATAATTTCCATTGTTAAAAAGTGATACTAACCTGAATGAATTTATATCGACAGCTTGAATTTTTTTTATTTCTCACATTATTAACTTACCAATCTAAACCCCTATAAATCTTTTTTCCATTTACAAAAATCTATCATAAGTTCTTTAAGTCTGAAATACTACTCACTTTCTAGAAATTAGCAAATTTTAGCGTGGTCTATAAAAAATTGGAAGAATCTACTTCACTAAGAATCTACTTCACTAAACTCTGTTGCCTGCATCTCTGTGTTGCCTGCAAAACACTCAAAATACTTGTCAAGAAAAAAATCTTTCAGCATATTTTAACAATAATAAAATTTAACAATGATAAAATGCTCTCTGCGAATCAGCGTAGATTTCTTCAGCATAAATTATGCGTAACTAATCTAATAGTCACTTAATATTGTTTCATCTTCTATTTCACCAGTTTATTGACGAAATCTCGATTTCGCCAAATCGTCGATTCTCTACCTCAAAACAGACTTATGTTAAAATTAAGATATTTTGGAATAAGTGGAAATCAAAATAAAAAGATGTAATAAATTGATCCCTAAAATGCTCTCCCGATAAGAAATTTTAATGTTGGCCATGTATGGCACTTGGATGCTAACCATATGCTTACCACTCCTTTATATGGGATGGCGTTGATGCGATAATAAATAAATATATCCTCTTTACAATTAAAGAAATATTTCCATTTTTATTTTTTTTTTATAATAATCCTTTATAATATTAAAAAAGTTTTTCACATAAGTTTTGATTTTTTTTGATAGGGATGATAACATTGATTTTTTGGAATATATTTTATAATATATATGCCTGATTTTTCTTTAAAAAAACTTTTCGACTTTATAAAACAAAACAAAATATATATATATATATATATATATATATATATATATATATATATAAATATATATATATATATATATATATATATATATATATATATATATATATATATATATATATATATATATATATATATATATATATATATATATATATATATATATATATATATATATATATATATATATTTATATATATATATATTTTTTTTGTTTTATAAATTTTTTATTTTTTTGTGTTTTTTGATTTTATATTTTTTTGTTTTTTTATTTTAATGCCTTTGTGCGGAGAGAAATCGAGAATAAGAAAAGAAGTTGATTAAGTTTAATTAATTATTTTAAGTGAAGAAAAAAGTTATTAAGTAAAATAAAAATAAGGTACAGGACTTTAACACAAATACCACGTTACTAAAAGCTACAAAGAAACATGCAAATAATATTTTATATGAGGGCCGACAGTGGTTGTCTAATCATAAATAAGAATATTTTTGTAGTAATTAAAGAATTATATTTGTAAAATTATATTTGTAGAAAACAGGAAACACTTAACTAAACATTAAGTTTTTGTTATGAGCCGGTGTATTTGTTCAGCTCATATGTTCAGTTTCAGGTTTCCATTTTCTATTTGACAAAAAACGTTATTGATTAAGTTTGACAGAAAATCCATAGTGTTTCTTCGGACATGGTATAAACAAATATACCAAATATACTACGGACACGGTATAAAGAAATATACCAAGTCACAATGTGTTAACGCTGGTAATGTGATTTTACCTCCTCCGTCTAGTTGACATGGAGAGGTCACTTTATCGACGTCCGCTAAGACTGGTTGAGTTCCCGAGGGAGCGTCATACCTGCTCTACGGACTGAGAGTAAGGTGAATTAAGGGAGAACGAAGATATATTAGAGTGAAAGATAGAGATAGTCGAGTTAGAAAGATAGCATAGAGTAAGCGGACAGGAGTACACACGATGTTAAGAGTGCAATGTTAGAGAGGTATTGTGGTTTATCCTCCTCCGGCTAATTGCCAAATAGAGGCCACATTACCAAGGCCCGCAAAGACAGGTTCGGCTCCCCAAGGAGCGTCATAACCCGCTCTACGGACCAAGAGTAAAGTGAGTTTAGGATGAACGAAAATATGTTTAGGATGAACAAAAATATGAGTAAAGGACAAAAGTAGTCGTGTTAAAAAGACAGCATAGAGAAGGCGAACAGGATTGCACTCGATGTTAGGAGGTGACACAATACTAGACAACATAAATACTAGAAAGAAGTTTTTTATCCGTAAATGCAATGTTACAGGATGCGATGTACTGTAATACTAAATGTTACATATAATAATAACTTGATGTTTTAAAAACATTTTCGCTTGTGGGTCAATAAAATCCTAAAAGCGTACCAACAATTTTAAACTTTTTAAAGATCATTCAATTTATTTAAGAATGGGATTTAGTTAAACCATAAAGATCATTCAATTTATTTAAGAACGTGACTTAATTAAAACATAAAACTTTAATATGCAAAATATGAAAGTTGCAATTTCTGATTCTATCTTCTTAATGTTGCAACTTATTTGGCTTTAGATAAATACTTAACAAACAAAATGCTTTGATATATATTTTTTTAATTTGAAACCAAAAGCATTTTTTTGGGGGGGTATTTTTTCCTTGGGGATTTTTTCTCGGGGGGATTTTCTGCGGGGGATTATTTCGGGGGAATTTTTTCCGGGAGGATTTTTTCTTAGAACCTATTATTTTAGTTCAATAAATTTAAATGAATGCAGAAAATATAATATGAATGCAGAAAATATAATACGCCTCAATTAAAAAATGTGTTTGTTTGTTTACCTACACTTATTTTTAGTGACGGATTACTATACAATTTATTTGCGTTTGCGGTTTGCTAACATTGTCCGTTATTTTAAAATGTAACGTTGTTTAAGTATAACTATAAACTTGTATTCGTTAAATATAACTCTGATTTACAAATTTTATGGAAAGTTTATTTAGAACAACAATTCTCTAATATATTTATCACAAAACCGCTCAAACATTTTTATTTTTATTTTATTTTTTTTACAAAATTATAAACATTTACATAATAAATAAATTTTAAAATATATATTGTATAATTATATATAAGCATGGCCGTACCGAACGACAAAGACTTGAAGGGGAGGGGGGAGGGGTGCAATGGGCAAAAGCTAACTTTACAGACAAGGTTGTTGTTTTTTTTGTTTTTTTTTTAGCCAAATTTCAGTTCTAACCGACAGAGTCCCAAATCTTCCAATTTTCCAACAAAAACCGACATAATTTTGTAAATCTGGGGGGAGGAGGGGATTGTCCACCCCATACACACCCCCGTTGGTACGGCCCTGTATATAAGTAATATAGTTTTAAATAATTCTCTTTTAAAAATATGCCGTTATATAATCTAAATCACACATAAAATCACATAAAAAAAAACAAAGTTTATTAATGATAACAAATTGTGTATTACAATAAGTAAAAGTCTTAACACACCTAGGTTTTTGTTTTTTTATTTTATATATTTACACTTTTTCTTTTATATATATTTATTTTTATGACTCAAACATACTTATAACAGTTATAAATTGAAAATTATAAAAACGGTAAGCCACATGACATCATGGAGTATTCTAGAGTTCACACTGCATTGCGATAGAATTATTACAATTGGTTAAAATTCGAAATGATAGCCCCATACGATAGCCCCATCTAGTTTAGCACATATTTATTTAAGAATTATGCTACATTAAGTGG